GTCTTATCTAATTGCTTCTGATAAAACTTTGGTAGTCTACTAAATGAGAACTGTGAAGGGGGAGATTTTGTCTGGTTCAGACCTTAAGAGAAATGTTTTTTTCCTTATTCAGTATGACATTGGTTGTGGGTTTGTCATATTTAGCCTTATGTTTAGATATATTACTTTTAAACCTAAGTTGTTCATGGACTTTATTTTAAATGAATGTTGAATTTATTTAATGGTTTCTCTTTGTCTGTTAAGATGATAATGTGATTTTTAATCCTTTATTCCATTTACTTGTATTACATTTATTGATTTGATACTGATTATTGTACCTGGAGTGAAGTAATATTGTAGTTTTAATTTGACTTATAATTTTTACAAAGTTTATATTATTTTATTAGAAATTCAGATGTACAGAGAGGAGGAGGGACAGAGAGGAAGATCTTCTGTACACTGATTCACTACTTAAGTGGCCACAATGCCACTGTGCAAATCTGTGCAAATCTGAAGCCAGGAGCCAGAAGCCTCTTCTGGGTCTCCCACATGGGCACTGGGTGCCAAGTCATCGGGTCATCCTTGAATGCTTTCCCTGGCCACAAGCAGGGAGTTAGATGGGAAGTGGGGATGCCGGGATTAGAATCAGTGACCATATGGGAATCTGGCACATGCAAGGAGAGGACTTTAGCCACCAGGCTACCATGTCAGGCCTGACTTACCATAAATTTTGTGATTTTATTTTTTCAGATACTTGTTGGCAATACATATATGAACTATTTTGGGAAATATTTATTCAGGTTCATTTTCGATTTTAAGTCATTTATTCCTTTGCTATTGAGTTATTTGAATTTCTTAGACATTTATTATTTACATTTATTTACTTACCTATCTATTTATTTGAAAGGCAGAATGTCAGAGACAGGGAGAGAGAGATATCTTCTATCCATTGGTTCGCTGTCGATGGCAGCAACAGAGAAAGGCCAGGTTAAAGTCAAGAGCCAGTACTTCTTGCCAAGTCTCCCAGGTAATTGAACCATCATCTGTTGCTTTCCCAGAAACATCAGTAGGAAGCTGATATGGAGGTACAGTAGCCGAGATTCAAGTTGGCACTCTACTATGGCATGCCTGCATTGCAAGCATAGACTTACAGTGCTACTACAATGCTGGACCCTTACATGTTTTGAATATTAACCCCTTATCAGAGTCATGGCTTACAATTATTTTCTCCTATTTTATTGACTATGCTGTGATTTGGTTAATTTTTTCTCTTCTGGTCCAAAAGCCTTTTTGATCTGTGGTATTTTAATTGTGTCCTTTTTTGTTTTTATTTCCTATATTTTTAGGAAAATACCTCAAAAATTGCTGTCCAGTCTAATGTGGAGTTCCCTATGTTCTCTTATAGCAGTTTCATAGTTTCAGGTCTTATGTTTACGTATTTAATCCACTTTATTTGTATTTGGCATCAGATAAAAATCTAATTTCCTTCTTCTGCAGGTGGATTTCCAGTTGCCCCAACACCATTTATTGAAGAGACTGTCCTTTCTCCATGTATGTTCTTGGTATATTTGTTAAAACTTTGTTCTTTTTTGCTATTTGGAATGTATTACTGTTTCAGTGGACATTTGTGTCTGTTCATTTAATTGGACCATTCAGCAGCAGTTGCCACAGCTGAGCAATTCCCTCTTTTGAAATATTTTATTCTTTATTTCTATTTTTCACATCTTATGGTTTTCCTTTTACTTCATGTGCTGCCCCACCATTCCTGACCTAGATCTTGAATTCTTCAAATTCTTCAACTTCTTCCTCCTGTGTCTCTTGGAAATCATTTCACGGTAACCTTGTTAAGCCTGCGTCGTTTTATACCATGTACTGTCGTAGGTTTCTGAATTTTATATCTGCAACCAAGATCTCTTCGCTGTTTCATTTCATACATGTTTCTACCTGTTATATACCTCTTCTTGTGTGTCTAATAAGGTTCTCACATTTAACATGGCTGAAGCACAAATCTTACGCCTAACCCTCTTCTACCAAAGTCTTCCTTCCTCTGGCTTTCTCTGTCAGAAACAACAAATGCTAAATTCTTAGCCCATGTTTGAGAGTAATCCTTGATTCATCTTTGTCTTACAGCCCGTGACCAACCCATGATCAAGTCAACTTTATGCTGAAGTGTCCCTACCCTGTAACTTCTCATCTCTGCTGTTGTTAAGTCTTAAAACCCATCCCGTGTCACCTAGACTCCTAACTCCTCTTAACTTGTTTACACACTTGCCTTCCAATATCTGACAGCCTGAACCAGTACTTAAGTGAGACTATGTAATTTCTGCTCAAAGACTTTCCCTTGCAGCGAGAATGAAATCTAGTCTCCCTAGAAGCCCCTCCCTGAACTACCCACCTTTCTGACAAATTTCCCTCAACCCTCAGTGGCTCCAGTGCACTTCACCGTCTTGTGGCTCTGGGAACATGCCGCACCATTGTCTGTTTCAAAGGCTTGCCATTTGTTGTCCCTTGTGTTTGGACTATCCTCCTTGCTTGGCTCTTCATTGGGGGTGCTTCCTTCTCTTCATGCAACATCATTCCTTTTCAGGGAGACCTTCCCCCAAATTCTGAAAATATATCCATTTCTGTCCTGCACAGGTGTTTCAATCATGTTACTCTACTTTTTTTTTTTCTTCAGGAAGATTAAAATTATAATGGGCACATTTAATACTTCAGATATTTATTTTTGCTTTCTCTCCAGGAGTAAAATCTTGTTGAGGGCAGAGATAGACTGTTTCTTTGTGATTCATTGTTTCACCCTGGTAGTCGGGACCATGACTGATCCACTCAGTCAAAATGTGACTAAATGAAGTATGATGTGGAAAGCAGTGCATTAACTTGTATTGAACTTGTAATTTAAAGCATTTATTAGGTCAAAGCAAATTGATTCATTCTTAGCTAGGAATATTTTTTATAGCACATGATGATAGGGATGCAGTTCTGACATTTAATATTTTAGCTTTCATAGAGATAGATTTGTGCTTGAAACAAATGCAGAGAATATTCCCATTTACATTTGTAGTGGTGGAAAAAATATTTGTTGGATGGCAAATGGCATCAGTGTCTTGAAATTTCTGAGGATTACATGTCAAAACCGTACGCCACACCTGAGTTTCTTGGGCTTATATGTAAGTGATAGGAAGTAGATGATCTGTGTTAATTAATCTCTTTAAGAAAAATTTAAGGAAGCTGTCTTACCTGAGTTGTTGTGTGTTGGTCCCCCTTATCTCCAAGGAGAAAGTTAACATTATCTCATGCACTGATCTCATTCATTGCAGATCTCAATATATTTGTAACTATTTTTAAACTTTTAAAAAAGATTTTGCTTTTATTTGAGAGGAAGATATTACAGAGAAACAAGGAGAGACAGAGAGCGAGAGAGATCTTCCATTCACTGGCGCACTCCCCAAATGGGTGCACTGAACAGAATTAAGTGGAGCCAAAACCAAGAGCCAGGAACTTCTTAGGGTCTCCCATATGGATGCTGGGTCCCAAGGACCTGGGCCATCCTCCACAGCTTTCCCAGCTATAAGCTGGGAGCTGGATGTGAAGCTAGAGCAGCCAGGACATGAACTGGTGCCCGTATGCTAATACCACATATAGAAGATTAGCATATTGTGCCACCACACCAGTTTCTGTTTATAACTTGAAATTTTCAATATCCATCTTAATTTTTTCAAATTGTTAAAAGCATGATATTTCAATAAATGGTTGAGTTTAAGCTTTTTCTAATTTTTCACAGGTAAAACTTACACATTGTTTCATAATGGGGTTAATACGTAAAAAAACCAAATGACAGATATAGCAGTATTTTAGACAAATTATAACTTTTAAGAAAGGATCTTTTTTTATATTTTAAAATTAGATTTTATGGAGAGCAAGCTTCCATCCACTGGATCGCTGTCCAAATGGATGCATTGGCCAGACCTGAGCCAATTTGATCCAAGGCTAGCAGCCAGGACTTCTTCCAGATCTCCCATGTGGGTCAATGGAACTTGAGCTATCTCTGCTGCTTTCCCAGGCCATAATCAGTGAGCTGGATGGGAACTGGAGCATCCAGGACACAAACTACCACCCATATGGAATGCCAGCCCTGCAGGCTGAGGATTTCCATGCAACGCAACCAATGCCAATCCCCTAAACTATAACTTTGTCACAGAGTGGTAAATGAGATATGAAGTTTGAATCATCCAAAAGCTCAGCAGCCTTACTCTAAAGGTTAACAAAATGAGTGTCAAAAGCTGACCATGCATAGGAACTGGGTTTCCAGGTATCTACCAGACAAAGAGAAGTTCACCCAAGCTTTAGCTGCCATTGGTGCGATTCAGTAACAACTGTACCCTCGGGCAAAATTTAAAGGAATGACTTTGGTCTCTGAGACTAGTAGAACTTTCGGTGAAATGGGAGTGATTTAAACAAACAAACAAATAAAATCACTGGGTTTGTTTGCTTTCAGAGCCCCTAGACAAAAGAATGCTGTTGATGTACTCTTGCTGTCTGCTGTGCTTCCTGAGAGGAGATCTCCTGTCTGCTCTTTACACTGCCCTAAAAGAAAGGACAGTAGCAGCATTCAGCTGCTTTGAGAATAGTTTGAGAATCAGCCCCATGGAAGGGTCCTTGTGCAGGGCTTTGCTGTTCTCTGATTATCACACCGAAGAAAACAGTATGGAACAAGTTATATAAAAATAGTTTTTGATGGCACCACATCTTGCCTCTCTATTTGAGACTGTTTTAGTCACTCATTCTAATCTAGTTGCTAATTGTTCTTGCTTCACCAAGCATTTACTGACAGAAATGGCCCTACCGCATTTAGAAAGAAAATCAAATCTGCATTTATAGAGTAAGCATCATAGTATTTCTAGTTTCATGCATGGTGGATTCCTTATAGAGCTATATTTAATGTACTGCTAATTAAAAAGAGGAGGAACAACGTATTCGACACTTTCCTAATGTTGTCTTATCTTTTGTTTCTGTTGGCACAGCTCATCATGTTAAAACGGGAACTTGTGAGGTGGTGGCACTCCACAGATGCTGTAATAAGAATAAGATAGAAGAACGGTCACAAACTGTTAAGTGTTCCTGCTTCCCGGGACAGGTGGCTGGCACCACAAGAGCTGCTCCATCTTGTGTAGATGGTATGTCTTCTTCCCTTGGTGGCTGTGATAGTGAAGCTGGTAACTGTTGAGAACCAGAATCCCCTTATAATGCTATCAGCTGAGGTCAGTTCTAGGGGATGACCCTATCAATCACAGGGTTGAAGTGACATTAGTTGGGGAACATTTGAATTCTAAAATCCTTTGGAAGTAGATCTCAAATCTTACATGGATCAGCACAAAAAGTATTATAGTGAAGTTTCATTTAGTCTATTCTCATTTTGATATCATAAAATATTAATTTCCTTGCAGAAATGGGAGGGAAGAATGTACATAAATTAATTAGGAAAGTTAATATAAAAACCCATAAGTTAATAGTAAGGGTCTAAACTCATGGATGGTGTTTAACAATGAAAAAATTATTATGCTATATTTGAATTAATGTTTAGCTGTGCATAAAATTCATATAAAATATTGACTTTTGTGAAAATGCAATAACATATGGATTCATTTTTTTGAGAGTTCAATTGAGTGTAATAAAATGCAAACCTTTACAGTAATTTATTTAAAATATACTCCATAAATAGGAATTTGTTAAGTACTTTATCAGCATGGCATATTTTACATAATGATGTTACTTCTCACAGGAAAAAATAGCATTACATTGTGTTGTACAAATGCCTACTTTTAAAAATATATGTTTTAGAGGCAGAGAGAGAGAAAGAGAGGTAATTAGACACAGAGACCTTCCATATTCTGGTTTCCAGCTTTAGCCCAAGGGTTCTAAGCCAGTAGTGTGGAACTCTACGCATGTCTCCCTGTTGAGTGGCAGGAACCCAATAACTTGGTTTTGCTGCTGCCTTCCAAAAACTGTCTTAGCAGCAAGGTGGAGTCAGAGATTGGAGCTAAGAAGGAAATCCAGGCACACAGGCCAACCATATATAATTTTTGTCAATTAAACATTTTTTTAAAAATGTTTTGCTAATGCTCCATAGTATACTTCCTGATTTTCATCTTATTTGTGAAAAAATATTACATTGATTCTAAAATTATTCTAAACTGCATTTTCTTGTATGTTTATATAAATCAACACATGGACATGTTGACATGGCTTTTCCCCCCACTCTACCAGTTCCCATGAAGCCTGTATTTTCACATTAAAATAAAGGTCAACCTTGTGATTTCAGTTGACAGTATTGTATTGTAGCTTGTGTGTTTTTACCACGATAAAATGAAATTTAATATAAAGACAAATTCTTTCAGTGAAGAACTCTCTTAGAAGAGACATGGTGTTTTAGAAAAATTGCTTAGATATAATGTCGTTAAGGACAAAACATCAGTCTCCAGTGGTGGGAAAAAAGAAACAACCTTGTCTTTTATTCCTTTTTTAACAGGCGTATAGAGAACTACTAATCCCAAATGAAAACATTTCTTCTCTCTCTTACAGCTTCAATAGTGGAGCAGAAGTGGTGGTGCCACATGCAGCCCTGTCTAGAGGGAGAGGAGTGTAAAGTTCTTCCTGATCGGAAAGGATGGAGCTGTTCCTCCGGGAATAAAGTGAAAACTACCAGAGTAAGTGGACAACCCGCTTGTATCCGAGCACCCCCGAGGCAACAGAGAATGGGCATGTGCAGTGTCAGCTTTAAGTGGTGATAGCGGAAATGGCATAGACTTTTACACCGTGTGGTTGTTCCATTTTTCCTCTGGTTCATTTTTCATAACCCATCTTCAATGCACCCAGATGACATTTCCTGTGGATTGTCATCGACTCTCATTGCATCTGATAAGCATTGTTTGTACCCTAATGAATTAGTGGCAGAAGTGCCCTGAGAGTACCTGTTCAATTTGGGAAAGGGGCCCCAACCCCCTTTTCTCTGCTGAATAAATCTGAATAAATTTAGCTAAAAATTTATTTTATATACTAGGATATTTCAGAAGTTCATAGAAAAATTAGATAAAAATGTATATTTTGGTTTTAAAAAGTTTGAAATGCATGCATTTTTTCATATTACATGTATTCCACAAATTTTTGAAGATCCATGATATAACTCAATAAAAATTTTCCACACCTGACACAACAGTCTAGTGGCTAAAGTCCTCATCTTGTATCCTTTGGTTCATGTTTTGGCTGCTCCACTTCCCATCTAGCTCCCTGTCTGTAGCCTGGGAAAGCAATAGAGGATGGCCCAAAGCTTTGGGACCCCGCACCCTTGTGGGAGACCTGGATGAAGCTTCTGGCAGGACATGATTAATATTGATTTATTAAAAGCATCTGGCGGTACAAAATTTTCCTGTAAGGTACTTATATCATAAAAGGCTCTTTTATAATACTATTAATTATCAGTTCAAAATAGCACTCATATAAATTTGCTGAGGTTTTGATATTATGAAACAGAAACAAAACAATAAGCTTTGTTTCACCAAATCCCATGCTTTTGTTACTTCAGTGGACATTTATTGACTAGTTTAAGTGTATAACTATATGCTGAACAAAGTACTTGATGTGAATTAGCTCATTTAATTCTCTTAATGACCCAGTGAAGATAACATCATTATCTCTTTTTTACAGACGAATAAACTAAAACATCAAAAAGTAAAGTGACTTCCCAAGTTCATATACCTAATTAATTGGAAAGCCAGGATTCAAACCACATAGTCTCATTCCAAAACCTAATCTCTTAACCTATGTTTTCTGTAAGTTAATTGGATGTGTTCCTAAGTAACAGTAATGAAAGCTTATTATAGTTATTTTGATATGAAGTGAACATTTAAATTTATCTTCTTGTATCATGACATGAAAGAGTAGAGACCAAATGGCATAAACTGTTGTGAAAATTATTTTTAGAAATGCTGTTTTCTCTCCCTATTTGTTTCTCTTGTGCTCAATAACCTACAACTGCTTATGTTTCTGATTCACAAATTCTATCCTGTGAAACCAAAAAAATTCAATAAGAGACTGAGAACTGGTGGATAGGGAAAGTTACATGCAGATTCTATCTTTGGTTTAGTTGGGAGACATTGTTCCACATACATACAGGAGAGAACCTGCTGGCTGTCTTTCATCTGTTTTGCTCTGAAGAGTGAATGGTAGTGGAGGACCTCATTTAGTTGTCTGAAGGAGAAATGATGCAACTGTATGTATTGGATGAAACTGGTTTATAGATCTGCTCCAATACTAGAGGTCCATGATTCTCATTTTGGAAAAGAAAAATCATGTTACATAAAAAGGCTAGAAAGAATTTGAATACCATCAGAATAAGTTATTATTAACATTTTATAAGAGAAAATACTGGTGCTAAGAAAAATCTCAGCTGAAGAAACATCAATATTTTTAAAAGACCAGACAAAGTATGCCATTAAGAATGTTAGTTTGGTTCATGCAAGGATTTGGATACCATAAACGAAGCGATGTTTTCAAGGCCTTCAGGTTACTGTTGCTTTGCCATCCCCCTTGAAATGGTACAAAAGCGTAGGAGATAAGAAAAATCTTTGAAACCGTAATGTGACTTTGCCCACGGTGGAAGTGTTGGGCATAAGTAATTTTCAGTGTGCATCAGTGGGAGCAATATCATTGAGAGGAAACTTGGTTTGTCATTTGTGCCATTGGTGCTATAATCCCTTTGCCAGCCATCAGTAAAGTGGCAGCGGGCGCTGTGAGCCAAGAAGCCTTTGGTGCTTTGACATGGCTATTCTCTGCTATAAATGGGAGGTCCAAATAAGCAGGAATATGTTACAGCATAACTCAAGAGCTGCTCTTCACCAAAAGGTATTTGAGTTTTTATGCAAGATATGTTGATATTACAGGATTATCACTGTAAGCAGAATGCCTTGAGAAATGATTAGAATTTGCAATTAGGAGCAGCTTCCTTTATAATTGCCTGAACCCAATCTGGAGTGTTTGGCTAAGCCTAACATTAGAAAAAAAGGGCAGCCAGCCAAAAACAGCAATTAGGCTTGCATGAGCTCAACAGAAACTAGTGCTACCTTGCAGAATAAAAATTTGATAATTCCCCACCTAAGACTAATTCAGAACCTACATTGCAGTTATCGCAAATGGGACTTACACCCTCCTGTCTTTGTACTAGATTCAGGAAATGTTTCCATCCTGACCCAGTTTCTGTTCATCCCAACAAAGGGAAAGTGAAGGCATAAAGAGCCTTTAGAAAGCATAGATATTTTGTTGCATGCTTGTTATTCAAAATTCCAAGAATTTAATCTGAAGAGAATGGAGCATGCAATATATATTTTCCCAAGCCCATTTCTTGTTCTGAAAGTAGGAAAAAAAAAATTGCAGCTATCTGACATCCTAATTATGTCTCATGTTGCTTTAAGATCTAAGTTACAGAGAAAGGAAGAGTCCTATAAGGCTTTTGGTTTCAAACTCACTTTCAAAGATAAACAATGAAGAACTTCTCAGAGTCATTAATAAAAGAATAGGCTTCCCAATGTGAAAGAGCACCTAATTATAAGCTAATTATGCAATACAGAAGTAGCGAGGGGAAAAAGTGTTGTGGAGCTTGTAAGCTGTGAGGGGAAAAAAAAAGTGTTTAGCATTGTGGAATCATCAGAAAGAACCAGACTGCAATTCCTTTTCTATTAGTGTTTTGATGTCCTTTTTCTGTGCAAGATCTAAAGGAAGTATCACTCTGCTTGTATAATCTAGATCCTTTCTCACATGAGCACTGCGTGCCAGACCGCAGTGGTCATTGTAGTCATTATGTCTGATTCTTACCTAAGGAAAAAGGAACTTTATATTACACAAGACTTTCTGTTGTCATCAGAGAGATTATCTGTATGAATCACAAATCTCAAGTCTGTTCACTTTTCATATGCTTATAAGAAGAAATTTCCTGGGTAATTTTAAACTAATTGGAATTCTTTCAACTTTATTCACCCACTTAAAATGCCTTAAGCAGATAAGAACTCTAATTTTAAACGTTTCTTCAAATAGAAATGAATTTTACAGACATAAAATATGATTTTACTTCATTGTAATTACAATGTGAATGAACAAATACTAAGAATCTCCTATGCCTGATGTTCTGTCAGAATAGTGCTCATAATGCATTTGAGGCAACAAAAGTAAATATGCAAGCATTTACTTAGTCTTACCCTGTGCTGGTCACATGGCTAAGTGCATTGCAGGTGTTTGTTTAATTTACCCAAGCACATCAGGTACCAAGGAGAGTACTGAAATGTATGATGACATGATATGTGCCCACAAGGTGTATGCCCTTGTCTGGGTGAGTGGATGGTATGTAGTTGTGTAATTCTTTCCTGACAATAAATACTGGAATCAATGATAAATAACAGTCAAGATTAACTTGATAGAAATAATGGCATAATGCCAGCCTATAGTTCAGCTTCTTCAGCTGGAAAAAAAATAAAAAGACATTGAAATAGATTCAATTTCAAGTTCCTCTGACCCAACGTTTATTCCTTTGTTTCATGTGCCAAGGACATTCCTAACTTCCTTTCCAGCTAAATTTATGTGATGTTAATAACTGGCTAACCTCAGAAAATAGATAAGTATAAGGGTTTTAATTCCTTCGATAGTGTTTTGTAATGTTTTCCTGATTAAAGCCTCAAGTCATCCCCTCCCCTTATAGATGATATTTTTTACCAGCGCTCAGTGACTGTTCTGTTGGTATTTAGGAACAGTGTGCCCAGAGGGTGCTATTTCAGACTGAAGGCAAGGAAAACTACAGTGGAAGAGAATAAAATGTGTTTCCTTAAACTTAACGTAGTACAGTTTCTGTGGCTCCTTCAATCCTCATGCAAATTTAAGTGCAGGTTTGCATGGTGTAGTTATTTCTTGCTTAGCAGCCCTTTCTTAACAGGCACATTCCCATTCATTTGTCTTCCTGTCACCCCCAGTCAGGCCCTAAATTGCAGTCTGGTTCATAGCCCAGAGCCTAATCACCTTCTGGAAGGTGGTTTTCAGATTGTTTTTATGGTATCCATAGCAAGAAATACATCTCACACGTGTTACCTACATAAATATACATACCATCTTAAAACTAAAGTTGCACTTTGCTATTTTATTTTTCCTTTCCCTTCTTTCATACTATCTCAATCTCATGAACTGATTTTTTTAGCCTGTTCATATATTGGCAGCTTCCAGTTTGACAAATATTACTTTAGGAATTAGTATTAAGATTTCTTATGTCTCTGCTGTATGAAACTGACAGCCAGTATTAATCTACAGAGATGTAAAGTACCTGAAAATTAATTTTCAAATAAATTTTGCTTTCATATTTAATTAAAAAATTTTTAATCAATATTTTAAGGTAAACATTTCATAAGATCTTATAAATGTATATTTTTATGGTACAGAATATGTAACCTATGTATAATCCAACATTCCAAGAGTCTCTTATCTACAATTGTTCTAAATTCTGGGCACAGCACAGAAAAGCAAAAAACAGGTGAGAATCACTGACCTAGAGTCCATAATTCTAATATGACACATGACTTTCTTTTTGCTGTGATACCAAATTACCACAAATTTAGTGACTTAATACAACATCCATTAGTTATCTGCAGGTCAATTTAGCAACCAATCAAGGAAT